TTTTTTTTTTTTTTTTTTTTTTTTTTTTTGTCAAAACGTAAAAAAGCTGTTTCAACACAACAGTCAAAAGTCGTGCTCCACAAGAGATTAGTTTAGTGCAAACAAACCTGCCTTGCCTTAAGTCATTTCATGCTTTTCACTCTCAGCCTAAAAAGATTTGGGAAAAAACTAAACAAAATAAAAAGGCACAGATAACAGACAAGACAGTTGGTGTTTTTTTTGTGTGTTTTGTGTCAGAGTGGATTACATCCAATCCTTTACAAGATCCCATCATTTGGGACAAGTTCAACCCAGCCCAATGGTTTCTAAACTGGAGTCTCTGACTCCATTAGATTATTACATGTTTTACTGGATTACAAACAGTCTGGGTAAATATTAGGTGCTGCAGACACACTGATTTTTTACGACTGTTTTATAATCAGGTGTTGGTGTGTTTTCATGTAATTCTCAGAAAAGATGTAAGAAAACATTTACAACTCTTCAGACAAGCACATGAAGCATCTTCAAATAAACCTGAAAAACTTGAGAATACGCTCAGTCTTTAGTGACACCAAGTGGCTGAGTACGCTGAATCAAACATGGTGTAAAGATGCTCTTCCACATTTGTAAAAGTCATATACAGTACGCTGACAGATTTTTTGTTTGGTGGAACATATTTTCCTGCAAACGCACCATTAAGTTAGTTATTTTCTTTTTGTTTCTTGTTAGAGCGTTTCAACGTGTTCCTCCTTCCATGTCCCAACCTGGACATCTATGGGGAATGTATGATGCAGATCACCCATGAGAACATTTACCTGTGGGACATCCACAACCCTCGCACCAAGCTGGTGACCTGGCCTCTCTGTTCTCTGCGGCGCTACGGACGCGACGCCACTCACTTCACCTTTGAAGCTGGACGGTGAGTACAGATTCCTTAAACTGTACATTTACCCACCTACAAACTACACTTGTGTTTTAGATAGTTTATTTTACTAAACTGGATGGACACTGCTGGGACAACATCGCTGTAGATGACTAATGACACTCAAACATGCAGCACAGCAGCTGTTTGGCCAAGCTGCTTGTTTAGTGTTTTTCTAGATGAGCAACATGAAAAACATCTGAATAATAATTTTACACCTTTGGCTGAAATAGAGCTGCTGCCTCTCAGCGAGAAGGTCGCGAGTTGAATCCTGGCTGGTGGCCTTTCTGGGTGGAGTTTGTTTGCATGTTTTCTCTGTGCATGCTTGGGTTTCCTCCAGGTACTCCAGTTTCCTCCCACAGACCAAAAACATGCATGTTAGGCTGATTGGTGACTTTAAATTGTCTCTAGGTGTGAGTGAGAGAGTGAATGGTTGTTTGTCTCTATGTGTCCCTGTGATGGACTGGAGACCTGTCCAGGGTGTCCCTCGCCTCTCGCACATTGATAGCTGGACACCAGTGACCCCTGTAACCCGTGAAGGTTGCAGGGGTCAAATGACATCCATGGATGGATTTTATGCTTCTCTGTACAAAACAGCATTTTAGGAAATGTTCTTGAAACTTAAGATAAAACTTCCTTTTTTTTAGTCCATCCATCCATCCATCCATCCATCCATCCATCCATCCATCCATCCATCCATCCAACAGTTAGATGGTGAGAGACAGGGTACAACCTAGACAGGTCCCAGTTCATCACAGGGCCAGATCAAATCTCTAAATAAACAAAATTACTGAAAGGAAAAGAGTCCATTAGTACATTTAAAGAAATACATTTATTCATTAAAATTTTTTTGTTGTTGTTGCTGTTTCTTCTTTTTCAAACCACATTTTAGTAAACGTAACCCATTCTTGGACAGGTTTTAAATATGTCATGACCTGGTGACTCTTTGCTGACAGTGATTTTTCAAGGAACACCAAAGTCCAGATATTGATCGTGTACATGGCAATTACTCATATGGTGTCATCCGAGGGCTTGAAGGGCATCCTCTGTGGTTTCCAGCCATGTTGCTATTTTATTTTACCAAAATTATTTTAATTGGTATAAGCCACTCTTCATATTTACTTTTTTTTTTTTTTTTTTTTACGTTTGAGAAACATTTCATGTCACTCTGTCCTTTTTTAGTGTTTTGGCATCAAATTCTAGACTTGTCTGTAATTTTAACATTGTGTGAAGTTGATAAGACAATGTAAGTCGTTTTCCTTTATATGCGTGTCTAAAAAATATTCAGCAACATGTTTCAGAAGATTTTTTAATTGTTTTGCATATGAAACTCACAGTTTGATGAGCAAAAATTAATCTACAAAATCAGGAAATTGTCGTAAGGTAAAAAAAAAAAAAAAAAAAAACTTTAAAAATGGTACACTATAAATAAACACGCTAAAACTTTTTGCCCTGTCTACACATAAAAGATAAGCGTGGTGGTGCAGAGTTAGAGAAGATGGGCCTGTGATCAGAAAGTCGCAGATTCAACTTCTGGTACCGTCAACATCAAAATGTGGGTGGAAAAGGTGAAACACCCACACCTGCCTCCACCCTCATTTGCCCCACTTTGGGCCCCTGAGCAAGGCCCTTAACCCCCATCATCTGCTCCCTAAACAGGTCTCTCTTGAAAATGAGTTCTCGTGACTCGTGAGTCTACCTGTGTAAATAAAGGGTGGATAAACTACCAGTGCATCATTCAGAGCAGAGGCTTTTTTTACCTGATCCTATCACCGCCCGAACAGCATACATGTCCGTCCTGCTGTCTCTCACTCTTACACAGTACTGAACAGGTTAGTTGGGTGGGGACGAGCATCACACGAAGATGCAGTGAATAGATCAATCAGTAAATCGAGGCAGGGCCAGACCCCATTATCTCTCACTCTCTGTGGAACCTCACCAGCTTTGGTGGTGCCAGCATACAGATAACCAGCTGTGTGTGTGTGTGGGTGTGGGAGTGTGTGTGGGAGTGTGTAAGTCTCAGACTTGGGCTGTCTTCATCTAAAGAAAGCTGAATGGAGCAAAGGGCAGCGATATTTTCAATAAACGCTTGTTCCGGAGTGCTCAGACTGTGCACAAAGTTCCTCCTCCATCTTGACCCAGAGCACACAGTGAAGATGACGAGAATGGCTTGGGACAACTTTGTAAAGATCCTGAAGTGTCCTAGCCACTTAAACCTCATTGAATATCTTTGGAGAGACCTGAAAAAGGCTGTCCACCAATGATCTTGCTGTAGCCTGACAGAGTTTGAGAGAATTTGTAAAGAAGAATGGCAGAAATCCCCACCAGTGCAAGTGTTCACAGCTCGTTGCATCAAATTCAAAGACTCAAGGCAGTGATTGTTGCCAAAGGTGCTTCAGTTAAGTACAAAGAGTCCGAATACTTCAGGAAATGTGGTATTTCAGTTTTTAAGTACATTTTTAACATGGTATAATAATCAGTTTTAGTTTATCAATAGGGGAAAGTAATTAAAGTTATTGTACTGTAAAAACAAAGGAGCCCTGGATACTTTCTGAAGACACTAATGTTTCATTAATAGAAACATTTTACTTCATTGAACCTTAACAGAACAGAACACAGATTGTACAGCAACAACTCACTACAAAAGCTACCAGATTTAAAAAAATATATTCTCAGTTGCTAAATTAATTGCTTGTTTAAGTTGTAATCTGGAGAGAAAGTGTGATTTTGAATCGTGTTAAAGATCCACTTAAACGGCTAAAGACTCAGTCCAGTCCAGTATGACAGACCTTGTTTGTTTTGGATCCTGCTGACATCAGAGCTGTCATTGTGTGCAGGATGTGTGACAGTGGTGAAGGTCTCTACACCTTCCAGACCAGGGAGGGAGAGCAGATCTACCAGAGGGTCCACTCCTCCACGTTGGCCATTGCTGAGCAGCACAAAAAGGTCTTGCTGGAGATGGAGAAGAACAGCAGGGTGAGACAACAAACATTCACCCAGCATGTTTGACTCGAGGCAGATGTGCTTTAAACAGATGCAAACTTTCATGATTTAAATGTATTTTTGCTGCCTTCAATAAATATATCTACTATATATCAAGTAATCAACTTATTGGTTCCTATTCCAGTTCTTATTTTATCTTTGTGGATGTGTGAATTGGTAATTTATTTTAATTGTCATTCCTGGTGTTTTGTGAATTCGTCACTCAGTTGCTGTCTAAGTGCTCAGAGTCCAGCTCCTACCCATGCACGCCTACCGCCATCCTACCACGATCAGCCTACTGGCACCACATCACTGGAAACCAGACTGGCATGGATCCTGGCAGTGGTAAACCACATACATTTTATTATTATTTTATTTTTATTTTTTATTGACCATTTTAAAATGTATTGCCAAAGTCAGTGACAGCTGCACAGCTGAATGTCTAAAATAAAGAAACCTTGTTTAGTTTTTATATAACCATCAGCGAGCAGGTAACCCTGGTCCAAATCCCGGTCCAGGGGCCATTCTGGGTGGAGTTTGCATGTTCTCTCCGTGCATGCGTGGGTTTTCTGTACTCCAGTTTCCTCCCACAGACCAAAAACATGCATGTTAGTCTGATTGGTAACTCTAAATTGTCTCTAGGTGTGAATGAGAGAGTGAATGGTTGTTTGTCTCTGTGCGTCCCTGTGATGGACTGAGACCTGTCCCTGTCTCAGTCCCATAAGTGACTTAGTGTATGTTTATAATGGACATCATTTAGTCTCTTTGTGGTAAGAATCATTTTACAGCTTTAGGACAAAATGTCCTGATCAATAATCCAGATGGAAAAATGTAACAAGGTTGAGTCAGGTCCTCTGGACGGATTCTTCTTTGTTGAAACATTTCATCTTTTATACAAAAGACTTCTTCAGTCTGAGACCCTGCTACAAACTCAGTCTTTTAAATAGCACCTTCTCAATTAGGACAGTTCTCCCACATTAAACCCTTTTTGCACGCCAAAAACTCCAGCATGCTTTTTGTGTTCACCTCCATATGATACAGTAATGAGAATGTTGCTGACGCACAAGCACTCGTATTCTTGGGTCAGCTGCATCTGCACAGTTGCTCTAACGTTTGACTCATACAGTTACTTGCATCTCCATTACATAGTTTGCTCGACCACCTGTTTCTAAGTAAATAGTTCTCTCTTGTCAGAAATGTGATTTCCTTTGTGTCATTTTAGTCTCTTAGTGATGAATTTACAGATGGTCAACACTGAATGTCCTTCTCTGTTAGCTCTTAAAAATGAATTGTTCTTCTGTGAAGATAATGTAGTTTAGATCATGAGTGGGGTGGACTTGGAAACTGAATTGTCTTTTTCCAGTTCTGTTTCTGCTCTGTCTGCAGGTGATGCCTCAGAGAACGAACTACTCCTGTCCACCCATCTGTCACCTGAACATCACACCACTCTACCCCTGACAAACACACAAGCACAGCCCCATCCACACACACACATCCCACCACACTACCCCACTTATCCTGGACAGT